ACTCAACTCATAACTACTCAACTCACAACTACTCAACTCACAACTACTCAAATAACAAAACGAAAAGAGAAGCTAGGTTCTCGTGCTAATACCCTATCCCGCTGAACATCTAAATTGATGTCATCATCCATAACATTCTCCCTTGAAACGACAGACGAGAGAAACTACGACTCCAAGTAATTTTACACAGGAGGTTGGATGTATCAATCTATCTTTTGTGGACTAGAAGCGAGGAGGGGTTCCAAGGTTGGATCTAATAATCAGTGGACTTGATTTCGGAACAGATGAGATGATGGATTATCATCATCTTCCCACAAAGTCACTGACTCCCTACACTACCTACACCAAGTGCCCCTTTAATCGGTTACGTATGTTTCATCTGCATTAATCAATTTTGATTGGATGAATCATGTCAATTCTATTCCACATTCCCTGCCGGAACTCGAGGACGCTGTGAGCCACAAATAAATTATATACGGAGGACGGAATACCCGCCTGTCCAGCAACGCGAAGCAAGGGTTTGAGGAAAAGTATATCATCATGTCATATCATATCATTGTTCCTCTCTCTCTTCTCTTCTTGCATCACACACATTCTGTGCCGTGATCTCGAATCAAATCATCATGATGCTACCACCAACTAGATACCTCTTCACGCAATCTATCACATCTCTCACAACCGTAAGAAATCACGAGATACCTTACCCATTTGGATCCTATGTATATTCGCATCTAATTCCACACACATTGATTGACCTTGCCACTCCAACTGCCTAGCATTCTCCATCCATCCCCCAAAACATCACACAGCATGTCACCACCTCATCGTGGCATCGTCCATTTACATCCAATACGAGCTTTCTCCCAAACACCCTCACACCCAGCCCGCACTCCAGCCAAAGGAAGCTATCCATTCGTGTTATGCCTGTCGTTATACATAGTAACAAACCGTACATGCTCATCCACCCCTTAGCTCATGCACAATCCCAGAGACCTGCCTATCCACCCGCCTAGTCAAACCTGCGCCTACCTACTAACCCCATAACAATTCCATAACAATCCCATAACTATTTTCCACCTCCCCAATAAAACCAACAAAAACAAAAATAAAAATAAAAGTAAAAATCTCTGCACCCAAAGTCCTAAACACGCAATCCATCCACATCCACACACGCATCTCACCAAAAACGTGTACCGTACTCCATCCATCGTACAGAAGACGCGTGCGTGGGCGCAGGCCAAGCCGCGCCATCCCCATATTCTTATCCATAATCCACCATCATACTTCATCGATACTGTACGTTATGTATCTCCCCCATTCCGTCTTCACATCTCGGGTTTGGGATTGTCCGTCCGTCTCTTTTTCACATACTCCGTATACCGGTCCGTATCAAAGAAAATCTATGCATGTAGGTAGAGATCTCGAAGATTGTGCATCTGATGCTATATATCCTATCCTATCCAATTCAATCGATAAGCTACCCATCTCCCTACCTACCTGAGTATATATTTGTCTTCGATTCGTACAACTTCCCAACAGTTAGGTCGTTAGTAGCTTTCCCATATAAATAAAACCATAACCCAACAAGGGAATTTGATTGGCCAAACTCGGAGACTCGATCGAAGTAAGCTGCTACCACACCATACCCACCATACCATCCATTAATTCTTACTGTTCAAAGAACAATATCCCCATTTTAGCGGGGACAGCTTTCCAAACATCACCTACCTCCCTACGTTGAACCTCCCTACTTACAAGCTTTCCCATCTCCCATCTCACATCTTACAATTCACTCACACTCTAAACTAACTTTCCTATATCTTTCATCTCTCTTCAAAACACACTATATACATACATATACATACATACATACATACATAAATCCAATCAACATAAATCAAACCAACCCAAACCACCCCAAGTATTCTCACAAATTCCAAGAAACTACATTACAGATACAGATACAGAGAACCATCATCAATACCATTTCCACCCATCCAGCACAGCACAGCAATAAAATCCCCATTACCATTTCCACATTTCCACATTTCCAAATTTCCAAAAATCCAAAAAATCCTAATCACACACATAATTTATTTTTTTCAAGCGATACCTACTCGGTGGCATCCTGGGAATTTGGAAAACGAAATGGTAGTCTGTAGATTACAATTTTCAATTTCCATTTTCCATTTCGAGACTATAGTCAATACTGAGCTTTTGTTTTCGTCTAACTTCTTGGTGCATAGATACTAGGTAGGTAGGTAGGTACGAAGATATCGAGTGGGGTGAGATCGTGAGATGCCCACGGTGTGATGGTAGTGAGGGTGGGTTGCTCAGTATTCCCGATCGGTTGTGTATCTTGGGGGATTCGAAGTTTCCATGTGTGTATAGCGAGTTTAGCACGCATCAATGATGCGGAACGTGTGACATCTTTCGTCATCTCAGGTTGTGTGGAGGGAGGCTTGCAATGATTCCAAATCAATAGATACACGACAAGATCACAAGCAATAAACACAATGCACATGGATAATCTGGATTCATGTGTCTCGTCCAATGATCTAATCTAATCTAATGCATCTATTAGGAATACGGAGATCTAAAAATCTCGCCAATGCTAACATATCCCCGATAATGTATGATTCGCAAGACTAGTATAGGGCTATCATAAACCATTCTTCATGCAGAGCCTTTCTTCGCTACTCCAGTATCCTTGGTAGAGTCACTAGAGCGACTCCAGCTCACTCTCTTAGCAAGCTCTTGTCTGACTCCCCATCGTCCTTTATGAGGAGTTGGCTGTGGAGCATCCAGCCCAAACCGTGAATACTCTGCCCACTGCGTACGATAATAGCCCGCACCGCGACCCGAGACTCCCATTGGGAGAACTCGCTTTGTACCACGGAAATCAATCTCGCCATCATTCTTATCAGGCATACCACAAAAGATACCTTCTACTGTTCTTCCTCCTCGTGCTCGAATGCTTATCGTACCAGTGCCTTTCTCAGACGACCCAGAGAATGTTCCCTTGCCGTGCCATGTGAAACCCATGGGACCGTTGTGTGTGAGGCCCTCGAGCTCATCATCCAAGCAGAAGAAACCTTCAACTATGCCAATGTCGAAAAATCCTAGCACTTTTCCTTGTTGCTGGTCTACGTGAAGACGAACCATCAAACCCTTCGATTTCGACGACCAATCCTCTTCTATCTCCTTGCTAGTGATATCATAAATACCTGTAATCATTTCAATAAAACTCTGTTGATCATCCTCTGTCCATTCCTCAACTTGTGATGTATCACCCTTTGGTGAAGGTGTTGAACCAGCACCATCACGTTCGGTGTGTGACCTCGTCATTGTAGATCTTGGAGTGGGAGATCGTGGCTCTTCATCCTCTTCAATCTCAGCATATCCATTCCATTTATCAAGAAACTGTTGAATAGTCATATCGACAAGACAAGGACCGTGAGGTATCTTGCCATGAAATTCACAACGACCACCTGGAAACCCAACACCAGACATGGCCTCAAAGTGTCCCCAAATCTTGCCATTGCCAAATCGAATCTTGCCGACAGTAAAGGAGGAGCTAAAAGTTTTATGTGGTATCTTTGAATTTATGCCACGCCATTTGAAACGATACTCTCGAGTAGTAGCAATCTCATCATCTCCATCATCTGCGTCATCGTTATCATCTCCAGACTCTTCACTCGATTCCTTATCTTTTGCTCGTGCCTCGTGGAACTTTGAGTATTCGATATCTGCTCTGAAGTGCTCTTGACTAGGACCAGGATCAATAAGTAAAGAACCTTTGAAAACGTCCAATTCAAAAGTGCCCAAGAGACGATCATGGTCCCAGATCAGTTTAATGCGTGAAATGTAACCTAGACCAGGGAAACTGTCTAGCTTAACTTTGTAGGTGGCCTGCATATTTCGCAGACGGTCCCGATAGTATTCATCTTGAAAGGCCATCGCATTTATGTGCTCGTTGTCGCGTTTGCTTCGATTGGCAGCCAAGCACTGGGCCATATTAGGGAGATCACTCTGACCAGAGGAATGCTCTCCAGCCTGCTTTTTCCCAGTAGTTTTGCCGAAAAACATATTTTTAATTGCTAGGTTGTAAGTTGAACAAGTAGAATACGAGTCCGGAGGTTTTAAAAGATGAGCTGATGATATATATGTTTACTCACAGTGCACCATACCTACCTTCCCAATAAGCAAGCACGTTGTTTGCAACTACCACCTCTTCAACGTTGAGGCATGTTATCTAGTAATGAAGCGATAAATAATCTAAGGACTGATGACGATTTGATTGCCCGCTTCCGATTTGGGAAACTGAAAAACGTGGTTCAGTCCATTCCACTTACCCTACCAGATCTCCGAACTTGGAATTCTTCTTCCTTTCTCTTAGTCTATGAGGGGATAACATGCACTATTCAAGAAGTCGTCCTTTTCGTACAGCTTTCTGATATGACCACTCATAATCCTCCATTCATCATTTCACAGATATTGGTACGGACATAATCACGGCGATGCGTAAAAATCCCTACAAAATTTTCAGATCAGCATTACTAATGACATTATTATCTGTGTTTATGTATAACACTATATGGGTTCCAGAACTCTGTGGTTTATACGAGTTTATCCCATTCATAGATCCGTATCATGCACGATCTCATCTCAAGAAAGGCATCATCCCATACTCGATCCAGCCCAATTCATGATCTTGCTTTCCATCTCGAATTCATGGCCTAGATTCAAGGATATTGGACATCCAAGGCTCGAGCACGAGCTGTCCAATCATTTTCTGCGACAACCGTCGATATCATTATTGACTGCGTCATTATACCAAGCCGTTGGTCTTATTCCAACATGACTTTGGACGACTTCGGATTTAAGTCTTGTTGATAGATTTGTTTCCAAACATCCATCGTCCAGGCGAAGTTTCGTTTATTTGTGTCTCGACTCTCAGACTTTGTAAATGTTGAATATCATTTGACTCTGGTTGGTTATCATTTCAAGTCAAGATTATTCAGATCATCTTGGACACCCAAAATACCAATCGCATAATGAATTCTCTGATGAGTACTAATCACGAATCCCTGATCAGTTGCTTGCTGCTTTTGCATTGCAACTCTTTCCCCATTGCGTGTAACATTCACCACTTGTGGACTTACTCGCTCGTCTCTCGTCCTTGTGTACGGTGGACCTCTCCCCATTTCTCCAGCCTTGACCCAAGATGTTTCGCAACCGGAAGCAACTTAAAATATATTAGTAAAGGTAGAAACGACAAGTTTATAGAGGATGAAGGAGTTGCATACTAGCGAGTGATGTTTCCCAACCCGTCAAACGAGCCACATCGTTAAGCCGACATATTAGCCATGTCCGCTGGTCCGGATTTTGAAACTACAAATGGTCAGTACGAGATTGCAGTACTCAGATATTACAGACTTACTTGAACGCCCGCCATAAAGAGACAGATAGTACTTTCCATTAGTGCTGCACCAACTCCCGGATTGACTTGAGGTGTCATGCTTAGATCCGGTGCAATGCCAGCAGCGATACGACCAAGCTCGTTTGCAAAGAATGCTGTCTTACGAGCCGCCATGCCTGCGGCTACCATTGCTGCTGGCGGCATAGAGGGATGAGATCGGTGACAAGAAATAAGACCCATGTAATAGTTCATCCAAATGCCAGCGACACCATAAGTTCGGTATTGCAAAGCTGGGCCAAAAGGAGTTTGAGTTGGGGTCGAGAATTCGTCGCCTAAAGGTTGAAAGTCTTCACCAAAATGATCTTCAAGTACACTGAATGCATTGCGTATATCCTGCCACTCTTCCTCTGCCTCGAGCCTTTGAGCCTCAAGATCCATATCTCCGCCCTCTGAGCTTTGAGGAGATGAAGTATGCGTTGGTGAAAATCCCATAGGAAGAGTTGGCTCCTTAACATTTGGTACCATGCCTGCAAAATTTGGCATTTGGTTACTCATAGAGTTGTTGGCAGCTTTCATGGCTAACGTCTTCCTCTTCAAGTCTTTGGCAGCGAAATCTGCAAGTCGTCCTATCAACAGAATGAGATGATCAAAAGTGCCGTAAACTGCATCTAATCGACCGAGTGGTGCACGCGGAGGGCAAAGACTCCATCGATCATACTCAGTGAACAGCTTTCCTCCACCTAATATGCTTTGATAAACGTCTTGTTTAAAGTACCACCACACAAGGTCGCGTTGCATTTCATAAGTTTCAATGTCCTTAGGGCTATAAATTCTGTTTTCGGTATTCTCCCAAACTTCGTCGATAATGTGTCCAAAGTCATCGTAACGAAGTCTTCGGCCCATCAATACTCCAACAATATTTTCGTCCACGTCTTCTAATGAGGCTGCGAATTTACGTTTTTCTTCAATAAATGTTTTACCCATATGTATCTGCTCCTGACGATAGCGAGCTCGGTCTTCTTGACGCAGCTGTGCCCGCATGTCCTTTAGATGTCGAGTCATTCCAGTGAAGTCAATTTCTCTCACAAGGATCCTCCCCCCCAGCAGATGGTTACTCCATTTTTGATGATCAGCACACCAGCATTCATAGAACGCAAGTAACAGTGTTGCAGCCAAAGTAGCAGGATGTTCTCGGCGTCCGGGCACGCATACACTTTTTGCAATCCTTCGTAAAGCAATTGCATAATGCTTTAAAGATGCGGTTATGTGGGTATTTTGCAGTTTCGCAATGTGTAAGCTGGCGCAAGCGAGTATTGCGTGGAGAAGCGCTTCATTTTTCAAGGCAAGCATAGGAAACGTATAAGTCCAGATGTGTTGTTGAGAAGATGGTACAGGCGTTCCCCGAAATATCAAAGAAGGATTGGCTGGGTTCCGCTCGAACATTGAAATACTCGGGCCAGTCACGTTGATAAAATGACAAAATATTCTGGCTGTCATACTGTCGTTGAGTGGAGATGACCGTAGTGAAGGATGGTAAGCCAATAGCATATTAGATCGATCAAGCAGTGAGGTGAAAGAGCGAAGACTTTGATCTTGTGCATTCTGACGAGCTTGGAGGGCAATCACTTGCCCAATGCCATAGTCCATGTTCTGAGCATTGAAAGTATCATATTCGTAGTCATCAGTCTCTTGATCATTATCCAGGCTCATTTCATCATCGTCAAATGTGCCCTCATCTTCCTGTTCAGCCATAGTATAGTTCTTCTTGTCAATGGTATTATCGTCTGTATTTCTTGAGACCGTGTGATGTGAAAAGGTTCCATCCGATACATGACTGGCCATATCAAAGGGAGGTGTGTATGCTGTTTCTATAATCGGTGTCACTTGGTTTGTAAGTGGGGCATGTGACATACTTGAATTCAAATTAGGTGGGTGAGAAAAGGCCGGTTGTTGCCAGCTTGGATTACTCTGAGTGGTCACCATAGGTGGCGAGAGAAGCGAAAATTGTGGATTTGTATTTTGTGTATGTTTTTGAGGGTAGGCATGGGGTGTACTATTCTGGCTCACAATCCATGGAGAGGGACTGGACTGCATAACGGGGAAATTTCCAAGCGGTGATTGTCGCTCAAAGAGAGCATTAAAATCATAGTGAGTAGGCCCAGAACCTGGAGGAGATCTGTGTTCGGGAGTTGGTAGGTATGAACGATCCACTGTATCTCTTTGAGCTGATTTCGCCTCCGGGGTTTCTTGAGTAGTGTTCTTTTGGACTACTACGTCTTGAGTTGCGCGACCGGAGAAAACGTGTTTGCCTTGTTCAAATCCTTGATTTGTCTCATTGGGGGGTCTATATGGAGGACTATTATATGCGCCCGAGTCACCCGGTTTCGGTGCAAGACTTGGTAATTGTACTTGCGCAGAAGTAGAAGATTTTGGGGCCTCAACACGACGCTGATTTGACCGACCAGACCCCGATGAGAAAGTTGTCTGGGAAGAATTGGCAAATGGTCCCCGGGTTGCACTCAAAGGATCCTTGAATACAACTCGCTGGATATAGCCCTCACAGTGCCTTTTGGATTTGGAACAATTTTGACATGTTGGCTTCTCCTCACCACACTTGATCCGTCGTTTTCTACATGCTAAGAGCAAGGTAGAAATGTCAGTCATTTCAAAGATAACCCTAACTTTGGTGCGGCTTAGACTCACTTAAACATCCCGTTTTCGTGCGTTTCCTACCCTGAGCCTTGGAACCAGGTTTTCTTACCCCCGCGGAACTTTCTTCTTCCTCCTCCTCGTTTTCAAGATCCTGCGATTTCTCTGGATTCATGTTGAAAATGACCGTGAGTGTTGACTCAAGCGTAGTTGTATCTCCCCTCTTTAAATGGATGATTTAAGACTCGGGCCTCATGATTCCATCATGGTAGTACTCGTGTAACCTTGGGAAACGTCAATTTTCGGTAGGTTCACCCGTGAACTCGGGAGACCATAATATGTACTACAATAATCGAACAAGTCGATGAATTTGAGACAATGGTGATATTGCCACCACGAGGGCTTTTAACAGTAACAACCAATTTGTGTATCCTAAGGGATGTAAATCATTGTTGTTTGCAACTTCAGTTCAATGTGTCATGACCAATGAAGTATAGCTAGTTATGCGTTGACGTTTGGTAGTGTATGCAATTGAAGTCTGTTGTTATACCAGTATTTGGGAGCTTAAGGGTGGGATTAACCCAAAATCGATAAGGGCTGAATAAGATGGATTCCAACTAGGTAAGGCAGATGTTATCGATTATCTAAATGATATCATTAAATGGCGACAACGAGGGCGAGGTAACAATGCAGGAACGATGGCGACGATGATAGTAATGGTAATAGCGATAGCAAAGTTGATGACCAAATTTGGATGTAGAAGAAAAGGCGTCAAAAGTAAAGAGAGATTTGAAGGAAAAGAAGCATCCAGTCTCTTTTTCTCAAAATTTACACTTCAATTTAGACCGCGGTTCCCTGCAATACGGTTGTTGTTTTTTTGGTGGGCCTTTCCTCTAGTTGAACCGAGCTTCATCCAAATTAGAAAAATCGACAAATTAGGAAGTAAGAAGGAAGTAAGAAGGAAGTAGGAATTCAACGCATCACTACAGAGCTGGCTTTACGTTGTAGTGAATGTGTTTTCGAGATTACTATTCAATCCTCTACTTGAGTAGCCAGTTTTAATTTTTGGTGGCTTGCCGGATGAGAAGATCCCCTCATAAACTCAAAATGTCTTTCATTTACAAGGCTGCGTGGGATAAGAAACGATTGGCTTGAGCTTATGGAAAACCCCATGAAGTTGGGCTTATGGGATTGCAAAAAGGCTTGACATCAAACTTAGGCACCCGAATAGACTGGCACGACTGGTAACACTACCCACCTTGATCTTTTAGATTCGGACGTAAGAAAGGAGAATGAGGTGTTAGTCAGGGGTTGATGCAGAATGCTGCCATCTGTCTATTGGGTTTCCCTTACATAAGATTGCCTATTCGTGGACATGTAGTATTTTCCAATGGAGCAGCATATTTACCCATATAAAGGAAGGAAAATTAGTAATTCATACACTAACTATATTCTTGCCCTCGTGTTAGAGGTGGCTAACAGTATTGCCAATTGAACATTCAACAGCGGCATTCCAAACTCCGTAGTTAACAGATACCTTCCATCGGAGGTGGAATCTTGGACTCTCCGCTCTATATCAACCTGCCAAATCTACCATATTATCACCGCTTCCAATTAGATATCCTTGTCTGGGATCTTGTTCCCGACGGAGAAGTGTGTAACTAAGGTTGGGTGATCGGAGAAGCAAACGATCTAGACCATACTTGTAAACGGCGCCGAAAGCTTTATGGCTTCAGCCATTGACTTTCGATTCCTTGTATGACAAGCAAGAAATAATGGCAGATTCTAGAACCCTCTCATGCCTTTTTTGGCCGATTGCAAGAATGACAGGCTGATGATTCCAATATCTTTTGATCTGTATCCATGTTTCCCAAAGCCACTACTAAACCTTACCCCTGTTCTACCGACCCAGAGAAAATCGGCTCGGCCGTCTCCCACCTGGAGCTGACCGTTTCATCACCCCGTTATGACCTACAGCGATCATTCTACATAAGTAACACCGTACATAAGGAGGGTTCCAGATCAAGAAGTATTCGCCATCATAACCTAAAATATTACCTAGGTTTCGATGGATGTGGAAAACTCTTTCTCAATTGGTAGGTCCCCGAGGGAAGCAAATATCTCCAAACAAGGGAATCATACCAAACGGGCATCACCGCATGTTGAGACAATAGAATTGGCTCAAAGTTCAAACTGGAAAGCAAGCACTCGTTGTCCACGTAAATCATCGCAGCAAATAAGAGAATGATCGAGATTGAATAAAGTTAAATTAACGGACGAATCAGGTATTGTTCAATCTCTTACCAAACCTCACCGCGAAGAAGAAGTACTAGATACCTACTTGAGTAGGCAGGTAGGTAATAGTACATCAGACAATTGAGATTCGGTCAATCAATCATCCTTCGGTTCGGTTAACAAGCTCCCCAGAAGAATGCGCTAGCTGGAGCAGAAAAGTGGGGTCAAAATTTATCATCGTTATCGAGTTTATCGGAGGAGAAAAAAAAATGTCTAGAATTTATCTCAATTACCAACTTCACAGCTATCAATCCTCACAACACTAAGCAAGCATTGTCATCTTATCACAATGTTCGCAGTTCCAGGATGGTCAGTCTCGCCGAGTCTGTTAAAGACTCAAAAAGCGGTGCCTGTCGCTGCAGCTTCAAAGGCCCATGAAGAAGGAGCGCCTGCCGAGACAAAATCAAGCAAGAAACGCAAACGCGCAAAGAATCCAGATGTTAACGCAGCGAACTTGTCGGAACTTTGGGAATCGGTTATTGAAGGCAAACCAAAAGCAAAGAAAGTAAAGAATGCTGAAGAGGATGGAGAAACAAAAGAGAAGGTAGCCAAGGAAGCCAGCACAGTTGAGGTTGAGAGTAAACCGGCAAAACCTTCAAATGAATCGACAGAAGCTTCGGAATCCAAAAAAGAAAAGAAGCAAAAGAAAAATAAGAAAGATAAGAAAGACAAGGACTCAAAACCATCTGATAATGATCAAATTACGAAAGACGATACCTCCAATGCTGCCTCGAGCAAAGCTCCTCAACCTCCTAAGCCCGCTGCGAAATTGACACCACTCCAAGCTTCTATGCGTCAAAAGCTCATCTCCGCCCGCTTCCGTCACCTCAATCAATCTCTATATACTACTCCATCCGCCGAATCCCTCGCTACATTTCAACAAAACCCAGAAATGTTCACCGAGTACCACGAAGGTTTCCGTCGCCAAGTAGAAGTCTGGCCCGAAAACCCCGTTGACGGTTACTCTCTCCAAATCCGCCAGCGCGGTAAACTCAGACGAGATATGCGAGGTCAACCCGCCCAGGAAAAGACCGATCTCACTCCATTACCAAGAACCGACGGTACATGTCGCATTGCTGATCTGGGATGCGGCGATGCAGCGCTCTCTACAGGTCTCCAAAAAGATCTCAAGAAACTCAACCTGAAAATCCACAGTTTCGATCTCCAAAGTCCCAGTCCCCTCGTCACGCGTGCGGATATTGCGAACCTCCCTCTCGAAGACGGAAGTATCGATATTGCAATCTTCTGTCTGGCGCTCATGGGAACCAATTGGATCGACTTCATCGAAGAAGCCTTCCGCATTCTCCGCTGGAAAGGTGAACTCTGGATCGCCGAAATCAAATCCCGCTTCGGTCGCGTAGGAGGAAACAACAAGAAAGTCGTCGAGCACAGCGTCGGCCACCGCAAAAAGAACCAACCCGTCAACAAAAAAGCTATCAAAGCCGCCGATGATGAGGAAAACGAGGCAGATCTCATGGTACACGTTGATGGTAACGAAGACAACAAGCAGGAAACCGACGTTTCGGCTTTCGTTGAAGTCCTTAAGAAGCGAGGATTTGTTTTGCAAACGGAAAAATCGGTGGATTTGAGTAACAAGATGTTTGTCAAGATGCATTTTGTCAAGGGTGCGACGCCTATCAAGGGCAAGTGTGTACCAGTGCCAAAGGGTATGCCAGAAGGAGAGACGTGGAAGAAGAAGCCCAAGGCTAAGTTTTTGGATGAGCCCGAGGAGGTACCTGTTTCCAGCGAGGCGGCAGTTCTAAAACCTTGTGTTTATAAGTTGAGGTAGGGGGAACGTTGATATGAGTTTGTGGGGAAGCGTACTGTAATTACAATGAAAGTGATGGGCACATGTGTAGCACTATCCTAAGAACCAGATTCGCCCATTTCATAATTCACATCACGAAAGGGTAGATATACAATGAAGAAAGAATCATATGCATCAAGCCACACATCTGCTATGCTAACGCCGGTTTTGCTATTTAAGGTTTTATCATCATACCACATCATCAAGACGATCAAGTCCTGTGTCCTCTGACTTTGCTCCTTTCTGCCCCTCATTCTTTCCTTTTTGCTGTGACGCCATGCCTGACCTTTGAAAATATTATTCTTTGATCGCACTCCGTACTATATCATAACCCAGTGCATTCAATCCAACCAAGTCCCATTCTATCCTTGGAACAGAAGACCAGCCGCATACTGAACATCCCCCCCACAAGCCGTCAAGGCATTAACAGCTTCATCACGCGAGAATCCTAATGCTACCAGTTGATCTATACTTTCTGCTGGAAACGACGGCTGTTGCTGCTGTGGTGGGGCCGATGAAGCAGAAGTAGCTGGTGCTGATGATGCGCTCTGGGGTGCTTGCTGTCCTGTCGAGGGCCCTGAAACTGCTCCAGATTTAGCTCCAATGGTTGTTCCTCCTGGTCCCTCAAGTTGTGGCTCCTCTGCCCTCTCATCCTCCATATTCTTAGGAATATCTGCCTCTCCCAAAAAGCTAACCTCGACACCTTGGATGATGAGTTTATCCTTGGACAAATCTATACAAGCTTGATGTCGCTTTAACATATCCAAGCCCAAAAGTAAATCGACATCTTTGCCTTCCATGACGGTGAAGCTGCAAGGAAGAAACATGCTTCCGATTTTAATCTGCGCGGAGTGAACTCGGCCAAGAATGGCGGCGGTACCAACTCCTCGTGCGATACCTGCGAAACGTTTATCGACCAGTCGCATTATACCACAATCTTCAGCACATTTAGGAGACATGATGGTAGCTTGGGCACCGGAATCGACGAATGCTTTTACTTTATGTCCGTTGACCTCAACATCGATGTATAACATATGAACACGACCGAATACTATCGATTGATCAGGTTAGAAGCTTGGCGCAGGCAGAATGGGGTACCTCATGCATACCTTCGGGATTATGCTCAATGGCATTTTGCAAATTCTCCTGCACTCGTTGCTCACGAATCATCTCCGCAATCCTCATTTGCGCATCAACATCAAAAGGATCGGCATTTAAATCCGCAATCTGCTGTCTCCGCCTAGCCTCCTCACCTGCTTCCCGGCTTCGCATTTGGTTCAGTACTGCTGCAAATCGTTCTGGACTATCAGCAGCAGCCGCCAATTCCGGATTTTGACGAGCGACCTCTCGTCTCATTTCCGCGTTGCCTATCAATTGTAATCTAATTGTTTCTGGATCTGGCTGTTGTTGGCCTCCTCTTCCTTGAGGTGCGCGAGCAGGTTGTGAAGTTCGTTGTGCGGTAGCAGCAGGAGGATCTCTGTATTCCCTAACATGTAAAGCAAGCATCTCTCCATCGCCAATCTGCAATTGCTCCATGGTCTTATTATCATCGTGTAGTAGTTGTCCATTGTGGTATAGATGTTGATCTCTCTTAGGGATGCGAGATTCGGCTTGGACGGATTCCTTCAAAGTGCCCACCGTGGTGTCTTGAGGTATTTCGAGAGATATGAGATCTGCATCGTCATCTGTAGGAGCAGTAATGGTTAAAGTGATACGCCTATGTTTGAAATTATTAGCCTCAGCTCACAAATCAAGCACTTCGTTTGGGATCTTCAACGAACATTTTGAAGACTATGTCACAGGTAGAACTTCTGTGGCAGTAACAAGTATTGTGCTTTTCAATATTAGAAGACTGTAGAAAGTAGAGGTTATTGTGAATATTAGAAAGTCTGGGTTCTAAAGAGAAGTAGTGAAATATATGGAAAAGATTGATACTTTGAAGTTGAAAGTGTAATGGTGATGGTAGAGGGGTTATTGACTATTTCGGTCAGAGCTTGGGGATAAGTAGGTATCCATGTATGACGAGAGAAGGCTGACACTTATATTACCACTCCAGAATCGCCTGAAATAGAAGCGGACGAAGCTAGTAAATTAGAATGGGGATAACATGTTTGTAGCGAATATCTATCTGTGAGGTAACCGATAGTGTAGAACTACATACACGGTACATGGCAAACTTTGTACCGCAGAAAGTTCTAGCATCTAGCATTTTTGTTTGCCTCTTTCATTTTTTTGCTTTTGCATGTACTGACTGTACTTGCATTGCACGTATCTTTTCCCTCATTCGGTGCATCTGAATGCATGGATATCAATGTATGTGATGACAAAGTCTTCGGCAGCAGGAAGGCTTGGTGACTGATTCGTACTCATGTTCAGTGGCAGTGCATGTCAAAGAGTGATGAATCTATCCAGGTATTTCTTAGGGAAAGGTAAGATACCGGTTTGATGTCGATCAGCAATGGTACCGATGGTCCATGATACTCAAAATAGATGAAATCATCTATCGACTAGGTATCAGGTACCTGAGTAGTAGTTAAAAGGTACTTTGGTTACTATGCGAATGCAGCCATACCCGCACCCGACGATGAAACCCATGGATGGATATAAGCCGATTAAAGAGGATAAAATGAGAGATCCGCGTCAATTGGTGACGAATGTTCTTCCGCAGGTACTCAAGGTATATGGAATATGGAGTATCGGTACTCTGGACTATTGGAGTCGTGAAGGTATTCCTTAATGCAATGGTGATGATGCGACAACAAAGACATACAGACGGGGACCCTTTCTTCAATGCTTCTTCTGATGTGACAAAAGAAATCGATAAATAGGTATAAATACAAATATAAATATAGAACTTTCGGGGTCTCTTCTTGTACACACAAGAAGCAGATGCTGTGCAATAGAAGAAATGTACCTCAATGAGTACCTACTCGTTAGCCTGGTAATTGAATGTCACCTAACCACATGTTCTGAGCTCGTATATCTTGTTCAACCATGGAAGAGATGAACCGTTGTTACCTTTTCAAGTGTGGGTTTCAATAGCAATTGTGTAGATGTATAAATATCTACCTGGCTCGAATGGAAGCAGCATACCTAGGTAGGTCTCAATCGAGCTTGTACACAGTAACCCATAATGACGATGAGCTACATACCTACCACGGTATAATACTACTACAATACTACTACAAAGCAGCCTTGTTAGCACATGATCGAATCAAACGCCGTTTGTTCTCTGTTGCCTTCTTTTTTGGTTTTGTGGCGCGGGTTCTAGCCCTTCACCTGAATTTATCTGCTGTTTTCCAACTCGACTTCACTTCCATCAGATTTCACTCCAGACATTCAATTTTGCAATTGCTCAACACAGTGAATGGATTGCTCATGCAGATCCGATCTCCAAATCTTATCAACATCCGTGCAATATTTCGACCCGTGGAGTTAGGTAATCGGTCAAATCTAGAACTAATTCACAATCTCTCCCCATAAGGCTACAATTGCCTGGATACGGTACCTGGTAGCATTTCTCGGGTCCCAACCTAATCTAGAAAGTTGAAATTATGTCGGAAAACGAACAACGTGAAGGAACACCTCAATCACCTATTTTATCAGAGAGTCCCAACCCAGTAACGCCACGACAATTCGACGACCAGCAAGAACCTCAAAGAGGTTTTGTAATCATACCTGAAGATCAACGAATCAAAAACGTCCATATGTATTCCAATTCTCATCGGGATCTTCACCCGTATACTCGTCCTCTGACTGTCTCCGATCTGGAGTCGGTTTTGGCCCTCGAGAATATCGCTTTCGAAGATCCAAATGAAAGAGCATCTAGAGAAAAGGTTGGTCATCTATATCTTAATTCCATGCTCGTCTAGAGAATTTGACGTGGCTAACCTTCGACAAGCTAAGGTATAGACTTACCAGATGTGGTGAGCTATGCTTGGGTATCTTCTGCACCATGATCCCCGGCTCCGATTCCAAAATCGAGACTCTTGCCACAGGTCGTCCTGTTGAAACCAGTCGAAGGAATGGAGCGATTAGTGTTCTCATCGGTCATGTTATTGCAGCCAAGACACATGACGCGACAGCTTCGGATGCATCCATGGGGGTTCCTGAAGGTTGGGAGGGTACCAAACCTCCACGTACAAACATTGGCCATCAAGAAGATGGGCGGACCATAGTACTTCACTCGGTTGCAATTCTACCAGCGTTCCAAGGACGAGGTTTGGGAAAAGTTCTTATGGCTGCGTACATGCAACAAATGAATGGTGCTGGAATTGCTGATAGATTGGCTCTTATCGCGCATGATGTAAGTTTGCTCTGACTCGAGACATGCATGGTTTTCACACATTTATTATCGGAACTGACATTTATTCAAGCATAAAGTAAATTTCTACAAGATGCTTGGCTTTTTAGAGAAGGGTAAGAGTGATGCTCAATTTGGTGGCGGCGGATGGTATGATATGGTAAGTTGCACATCTGATCAGTCTTGAATGGACACTGACATATGACCAGATTTATGATCTTAAGACTCCCGAGGCACGCACAGCTTATGGTTAGAGAATGATACCCTTTACAGTTTTGGTTCACACACACGGTTCATTGTCATTTGGAGAGGGGATCACACAGGAGTTTCAAACATTAGTGAAGTGGTGGTATATTTACTCGTACGGGTATCTTGGTTTATGAACAGGGTCTCGGATCTATTAATCGCTGGCCTTGTACTTAGCCCTGTATTCTTCCATATTCTTGACATTTTCCTCTGACGCAATGCCGCTGAGACCTCCAATGATATCATCTAATGTCAAAATAGACAAAACTGGAATGCCATATTCTTTTCTGATCTCTCCAATCGCACTTGGCATTGGTGCACTATCATCTCCAGTTGGCGAAGGCAATTTTTCCATTCGGTCCAATGCCACCAAAATACCAGCTACAATGCCACCCTCCTTGCGAATCTTATCAATAGCCTCCCTCTTTGCAGTTCCAGCAGTCACAACATCATCCACAATCAAGACTCTCTTTCCCTTCAAGGGAGCCCCTACGATATTTCCTCCCTCTCCGTGATCCTTTGCTTCCTTTCTATCGAAAGAATAACACATGGTATTGTATTTTGGGTCGAGATCGGCCAACTTATCCACGGTAGCTGTCGCGAGAGGAATACCCTTGTATGCAGGTCCAAACACAATATCGAAGTCCAGAATGTTTGCTTCTTGTGCCTCGATAATAGCCTTTGCATAAGCAGTAGAAATGGCGCGGAGAAGATCTGCGCGGTAGAAATCGCCGGCGTTGAAAAAGTAAGGAGAGATTCGTTTCGATTTCAATTCGAAGCTGCCGAATTTGAGGACCCCGCCATCGATTGCGGCTTTGAGGAATTCAGCTTTGTATGGAGAAAGGGTGGACATGATGGATATGTGTATCGAAATGTGTAATGAGTGAGGTTCGAGGTTTCGTGTGTGAGTGGAACTCGAGTATTTCTTGTGTGTCTTGAAATTCGAACTATAACAATGTCTATGTCATGGAGGGGAAATAATTTTTTCATCTCCCCTCATCGGATGCACCTAAAATATTATGGTGGGGAATGAGCGACCCTGAGAAAAATCGGATAAGCAGGTGTTACGGTTGTGGCTCTCGGCGAAGATTTGGCATAAAGCCAAACGGATACAATAATAAGCATTGATTGATTGTTTCGTCACAGTTGAGATTGATTGTTAACATACAGTAGACACTAGTTACATGAAAATCCAGATATCAGGAAGAATGTACATTGGATCTTGAGAATTAACCCTCTAGAATCTCCTCGCTCCAAAACAGTACTTACAGGATAGGTCAACGCCGCAAAGCTCTTCTAAGACACACCACGTGGAAATGGTGTGTCCTTCCTTTTGCCATATAATTCAACATCTACCAACTGAAATTGCTTGTAAGGAGAATCACAAAAGGGAGGTTAAGCTGTGCATATTCTTGATCATGCCTTTACGAATCATTTTTGTCTGCTTGAAGTGAAATTACTACCTAGGTAAGAATCTCTTGATATGATTGGAACCTGATAAAGCCACTCCAGTACACTCTAAATACTGGTTAGCGATAAGATACACTAGCGCGGTCAGTTTCTGAGGCACTAAGCAAAAAAAAATTATCCAAATTCTTATCGAAAGAACTTCAAGCCGAGTTCTCGATATCCCCATCAACACCTCCATTACACTTCATTGATACCATTTGCCCATCATGAAGACCACATGGAAGGATATTCAACCGGTTCCAACCTCCCAAGAGTTCCTCGACATTGTGTTGAGCAGAACACAACGTCGATTGCCTACACAAATTCGTTCTGGATTTGCCATTACCAGAATTAGAGGTACAGAATTCATTTGCCTACATCGCAACGATTTTTTCAACTAATTCATGTTAGGTTTCTACACTAGAAAGGTCAAGTTCACAGCTGAGACTTTCTCCGAGAAGCTCTCTCTTATTTTGGACGGATTCCCACGACTACAAGATATTCATCCGTTCCACAAAGATCTCCTCAATACCCTCTACGATGCCGACCATTTCCGTATCGCTCTAGGACAATTGTCAACTGCCAAGCATCTCATTGAAATTGTTTCTCGCGATTATGTTCGACTTCTCAAATATGGTCAATCTCTCTTCCAATGTAAACAACTTAAGCGTGCTGCATTGGGACGAATGGCCACCATCTGCAGAAGACTTAAAGACCCTCTTTTGTATCTCGATCAAGTCCGTCAGCATCTCGGTCGTCTTCCATCCATCGACCCAAACACAAGAACACTTTTGATCTGCGGTTATCCCAACGTTGGAAAGTCCAGTTTCTTGAAGAGTGTTACTAGAGCCGATGTGGATGTTCAACCATATGCTTTCACCACTAAAAGTTTGTTTGTCGGACATTTCGATTACAAATACCTAAGATTCCAAGCAATTGATACCCCCGGTATATTGGATCATCCTTTGGAAGAGATGAACACCATTGAAATGCAATCTATCACTGCCATTGCGCATTTAAGATCTGCCATTCTTTACTTCATGGATTTGTCTGAGCAGTGCGGTTACACCGTTCAAGCACAAATGCAACTTTTCCAAAGTATCAAACCTCTCTTCGCCAACAAACTCGTTTTCATCGTCATTAACAAGATTGATGTTACCCGCCCCGAAGATTTGGATCCTGAGACTCAGGCTCAACTCCAGGCACTCCTTAAGCCTGGTGATGTTGAGTTGTTGCAACTCTCATGTACAACTGCCGAGGGAGTTCAAGAAGTTAAGAATGCTGCATGCGAGCGTTTGATCGCTGATCGTGTTGCTCAAAAGCTCAAGGCTGGTACAAACAGCAGCGGTGCTGTCGGTGGCAGATTGGGTGATGTCCTCGCAAGAATTCACGTTGCCAGACCAATGGATGGCGTTGTTCGTGAGGCTTTCATTCCAGAGGCTGCCTTGGCCAAGAAGAGGTATGATAAAAGTGATCCAGAGCGCATCAGGCTTGCTCGTGATATTGAGGAAGAGAATGGTGGAGCTGGTGTTTACAACGTAGACTTGAAGGATAAATATATGCTCGAGAACGACGAATGGAAGCACGACAAGATTCCCGAAATCTTCGACGGAAAGAACGTTTACGATTTCGTGGACCCAGATATCGAGGCCAAATTGGCCGCTTTGGAAGAAGAAGAAGAGAAGCTCGAGGCAGAAGGATACTACGATTCTGACGACGATCTCGAGGATGCTGAAGATGCTGAGATCCGCATGAAGGCTAACCTTATCCGCGAGAAGCGTGAACTCATCAAGAACGAAGCCAAGATGAAGAAATCCCTTAAGAACCGTGCTCTCATTCCCCGCTCTGCCACTCGCAAGAAGCTTTCCGAGATGGAAGACCACCTCGACTCTCTCGGTCACGATACTACATCTATTGTCGCTCGTGCACGCTCCCAATCTAGAGGCCGTAGTCAAACACGCAGCCGCGCACAAACTGAAGATGCTATGGATGTTGATGATCCTGATTATGAAGCCAAGATGCGTGCTAAGAGCAGAGCAAGAAGCCAGGCCAATAGAAGAGATGATGGTGTTGCTGGAAATGAGGAGTCTAGGACAAAGGCTGAGCGTGCTCAGAAACTAGGCCAGAGGAAGATGAATCGTATGGCAAGACAAGGTGAAGCCGATAGGCATGTTGCTGGTGTCAGACCAAAGCATTTGGTATGTTACTCCCCTCAATCCTCTATTCCCATATCATTCCTCGCCGTATCTGAAAACGGTCTCTTAAACCTAATATCAAACACTTTGCTAACATATGTGCAATTAGTTCTCCGGAAAACGCAGTATCGGCAAAACAAACAGTCGTTAAAATACCCCCTGACATTCAAGGCACAATTCTATTTCAAGCTTACTATAATGGAATTATGCATGGCGTTTTGGAGATTTTGGGGAGGGTTCTCTTTAGTCATTCACGACATAATGTATTCAGATGCAGTATCCGTCAGGTGTTACGTACCAAAAAAGTAAAATGGGAGGATGATACATAGAGATGAATACGAAACTTTTTTACAAGATAAGCGATATAAATCTATAGCTTCACAAATTCCTCAATGTCAATTTACAATTGAGGGAAGGCTCCCTTCTAGCATTGAGTCGTTGGTATCAATGAATATCAATATTGCTACATTACTCTGTGAAACTTTTTGGCTATGAATCATTCCACTTTTTGCATCTGCTTTGTTGATTTTTGACCGATACTCGATGCAAGACGTACAAAGATACATTGTACTTGGAATATGAAGTGAATTGGAATCACTCAGATCGACTCGTAAGTAATAGTAGCAAGATCACTCAAATTTGAATAGAATCGGGTATGAGTAGGAGTATAAACCGACAAGTTCAAAAGGATCTATCTACCTACCTGCCATGAACTCACAATACATACTGATATCACTCCCTAGATAGATAGGTCTCTAGAATCTAGATATGCAATGAGAAAGCTTAACTTGGCGAGGAGGCATGAGGGAATAGAGGGTGATTATACGATGTGTTACGTTGTGATATATTATGGTATACTATACTGTGTAATTCTATAATCAGTACATTTCAGTGAACATCGATTAGAGGTTGAGAAGTTTAGAACTACTCTTCGCGCCTAGAGCCTATCGAATATTTCTCTCATCATTCCTGCCCTATCCTGCCCTATCCTGCCCTGCGCGCTGCATTTTCACAAACACCAACAGCTATCAACCCAGATCTTACCACCCCCCTTTTGAAAAGTTTACATTCTATAGCTTGATAGCCTGAAGATAGATATTAGACAGACGCCTATGAAATGAAAATCTCCGAAAATGAATTTCGATTCTTCCCCACACCTCCACATCTCCTCTCCTCTCCTTTCCTTTCCTTTCCTTTCCTTTCCTTTCCTCTTCCTCCTTTTCATAAAGAAAATCTGCTGTAATTAGTAATACTACTTATAAGTTATAATTCAGAATTCAGAATATAGAATTCACACCTCACAACTATCCCCCCCCCCCCCTCCCCCTCCAAAATTCAAGAATCCGAGATTTGCGAAAGAAAAAATGGAATAAGATACAACTCTACATCTATGCCAAGACAAACAGACTCATTTATCTCATCTCATCCCATCCCATCCCATTTGAATCAATTCCAAATCGCATTCCCATTACCAATCCGCACCCCCATCCCCATTGCCAAGAGTGGAGAAGCGCTGTTCACTGCTCGACTAGCTTAGTGAGAAATATCCGAGAATGAATGCAGTATACGCGGAAAAGAATTCTGCGTATATGTATGATGTAAAGGAGAGAGATGGGGGGGGGCAGAATATTCAGTTATTGATCCTGTATAATGATTATTCACCTCTGGATTCTTGATTTTTATTTATTTTGAATGATTGATAAATTGATGAGCTGTTACTCAATATGTTATCTAGAGAAATAGATCTTGCCTTTACCATATAGAGGATTAGTAGTATTGGAAATGGGAATATTGATTTGATTGATTGAGAGATAGACACATTCTATGTCGGACCAGACGGCATAGAATTAGATGTACCAACCATAAAGTACAGAAAAAATAATACAACACAATACATACATACATACATACATACATACAAACACACAAGCCACCCCCTCTCCTCCCCTCCCCCCTTCCAAAACCTCAAACACTACCCATCCCCTCCCCTCCCTCTCAAATCCCAACCCATAACCACGGTTCAATTCAACGGGTCCCCCCTCCTCCCTCACACAGCGGCACCGCCGGAAGGGGAAGAAACATGTCACTCCGAAACTAATTAGATGCACATACCACCAGATGGCAGCACCCAAGACCCAGAAGGCCAACCCAATTTCTTAGCGGCCGAGTTGCATACTTTCTAATCACTGCCGTCGGTTACACGTCCCGGACGGTCTTAGGGGCCGAGCGATGGGGTCAATTTTGCTCTCTTGGTATATTCATATATGTATATCTGTATCCACTTCGCAATACATTGCTTTGATAATTTGATATGTACTTATCCAGAGATTCGGCCTCAATTTTTCTCGAATCTTGAATTTAAACTGTTTTGTAAGATCTTGTCAAAAGAGGCTACCTATATGTATATATTCGGGACCTTCCACGCGCGCTGTGAAATCCATGTGCACTCGATCCATTTCTTGGTTTTCCTTCAGTGGGTTGAAAAGTTCGCTCAATATCCAGATTGAGGCCAAGCTGATGAAAACCAGCATGCACGCGTCGCTGATTATATATTGCCGAATTTGAAGTCGCTTCGTCGTTGACCCTAGTCGAATAATCGGAGACAGTAACATGGTACATATCTAAATTACGACCGACATATAAAAAAAATATGCATGTCAACCGTTCCAGCCTACTGGAGGCGATCTCCCAGCTCGTCCGAATACCAACACTGATCGCCAGTGGCATAGACGCACCGAGTCCAGTAGTGTGGTAACGAATGATATTGGGACAGGGTGGGTGCTAAAAGTATTTGTATAACTTATGCATCTTGCATACAGCCCTCTGGTGCAAGAAATAAACAATTGTGCTATCTGTATAAGGCGAACATGGTCCACTGAATAACGTGGTATAGATATTAGCAGGGAGCATTATGGAGCTCGGTAAGTCTCACATCTAATCCGTACATAGGCGATCTGCATGGCTTTGCCGTCGAAGCTAGGGCTCAACATTGATACACGTAGAGGGAACTCAAATTTCGGATGCTTTTTTGGCGTGAGATTCATTAGACGTGATCATGGATATTGAAGAAAGTTAAGGTTTAAGACAAAGACGGCCAGCTCCAAATCATCCAAACACGAAAGCCAAGTCGTTCCAGCTTCTTACTTCTGATGATATAGCGAAGCTGGTTGTCTCGCTTGGAGAGAAAAGCGAGGAAGTCAGATTTGATGTCGGAAGAAGGATTGATACTGCGCGGGAGAATTAGGTTGCAATCCTTGGGGATAAAGACGCCTATGTTACGCAACGTACTGTATACGATTTGTCTCCTGAGTCTGCTAATATTTGTGATGATAGTAAAGCCCAACGACCCACGTACTTGATAATACACGGAGCGGACTGTGCAAGCTAAACTCCCTCTCTCCGAGCTGAAATTTATAACTTTTTCAGCCTGCCTATTCTTCAGGTTCATTAATACCTCATCGATGATCATGTAATGTAACAGGCCTATAAAAGGTGATGATCTCTACGGAAGGATGCTTTTCCTCGTGCACTCACATAAATCACGATACTTTCTACATGTTTGTCGACGGTTTTGCGATAGGCCTCATGATAATATATCTCTGGGTGAAGAAAACTCAATAGTTTGCTATAGCCCGTTCACTCAAGCAAAATGATTTAGTATTAGTCATAATCCACACCCCCCTACATCTCCGAGGCAATGGGTCTCGGAGACTTTGTCCAGGAACGGCAGCTTAGTACACTCGGGATTTCACATATGTCGAACTTGAGATTAAATCCCAACATCTCTAAGGCGTGTAACCCCTTGCTCCAAAGTTTCTCCATATTGGAAACGCTTAACTGTAACACTGGCTCTATCGGATCAAACTTCATACATGCCTAGGCTCATGCCCGACTCCGCTCCGGCTAGGAGATCCTACTATAGCGTTGAATAAATTTAAGAGATTAGAAAGCTAGTCGAGTTATGGCAATGTCTCCATTGTGTTCTTGCTTTTTCGCTGCCACGGGCTGTGCTTCACCGCTGGATACTAACAAGCTGTACATCATGGTATCTTTGGCTGAAGGACATTCGCTGATGCGGCCCTTATATACACTGTCGTGTGATCCAGCGTTTAGTGGCACCAGAGCACATATTGTTGTCGTATGCCATGGTGGGGGTAACGCAGGTGAAGGTAATCTGTACGTTCAAGTGTGTTGAGTCTTGATGATTGAATTTTTCCATACATTCCATGGGTAGTGCAGAGTTCTTGCCATCGATAGACCATACAATCTCAAATCTGGTAATTTTTTAGGTCAGAAGTTACAAAATGTATTGTTTCCATTCACCACAATTCAGCAAGCTTATAACTCATCTCTCTAACATAAGGTTCGTAAAGCATGAATACAAATTGTTCACTTTTGTTATGCACTGCAATTTTAACATGAGTAGCTATCATTGAGAAGGTTTGTTCCAATGACCCGGTTCGATTGTCTGGCTCCACTAAGCATGCCTAACATGAAGTGTAAGTCGGCTGCCCACTAAGGGTGAATGATTAGCTGAAGATCTGTGCTGTTTAAGAATCGGCGGCCCGAGCCTGTACAGATTTTGCTTCTTGGTATTACCAGTGAAATTTCCATCAATACATGTAACGAGCTTGACATGCATCCAGAAAAATACATCGTACATGTACTGGATTGACTATAGGTCACAACCTTGGAAAAAATATCTAGGGCCCGTTGCTGCAAGTAACAATCAGCTACAGGCTGTGGCCACCCAATATCTCATCCTTGTCCCTTGTCATATGCTCACCAGGTGTTCACATAGTCCGAATACAGAAGCCGCAATAAACACTCGTCTTGTTCATGAGATCTGTGACCTCAGCTTTTATATAGAAACATAACTTTTGCTCATGATGAAAGGATGCCAAAAGAGGCATGGAACGCCGATTGTGGTATATTCTAGCATGGCTACCTCTCTCGGTGTGGTGGAACTGTTCAGTACCATGTACGAATAGCTAAATGTCAGTTTACACCATGACCATTAACCAGTAGTGAAACCCAAAGCATGCTGAGGTGCCTGCAAAGATAGCGTGCTAGTCGATGCAAATTTAAAAACCTCCTTGCCCCGCTTCAATTTGGTTAGTGAACTCGGAGGCACCGCAGAGCACCCGCTAGCTTTTCATATTTTAATTCCTGTTGGCGTGGGAAAGAAAGAGCTTTACTAGTGCTCAGACCTCGTAGAAGAACCTTGCGAGTGAATAGACCAACTGACGACCTTCTTGTTGAAGTCTCATTAATTGAAGTAACAGAATTTGATTGGCTCGCGACTTTTTCAATTTGGCTCTTTAATCACTCTGATAGAGGTTTGCGCTTGGAATAGCTTTCTATACTTATTGCCTATTGAACTAGCTGCTGCTTTCTCTCTTTTTATATGACGTACACCACGGAATTACCACATTTGTGAAGGAACGGATAGATGCCACATTGACTGTACAGACATGGAAGCAACCGCTTATGCCCGCACCACACAGGCTCTGAAAAGGTCAACGAATAGCAAATAAGAATACATGGATGGTTGTACAATAGAGGTATTCAGTGACATCTAGTAGACGGAGAGAGAATTGTATGGATCGCCAATTTGCTTGAAAAACTAAACTGAAAATCGAGCCTCGACAATACATGTTATACAGTATTTGGCCCCGCACCGGCTATCTCAAACTAGATTTTTAAAAGCAACAGTAGCACGAATTTTGGTTAAAAGACATTGAAAAGAACTAACATGGCGAGGTAGGTTCTCTGTGCTGTACAATTAAGGCCCCTAGAAAATGAATCACTAGCTAAGATGATAACTTTCTACCTAGCCATCCCGAATCTCAGACAGTCGAAGTGGACAACACATATTTCGAGACTGTCACATACCACAATCGACACTTCCAGCAGTATGCCATAGCGAATTTATCTTACTTTCAGCCTATCGATGAGGTAATACGACCAGCAGGCACACAATAGTTTGGAAAGCTTCAACTAAAACATCCGCGCAGGACGAATTAGAAAGATTGCGTGTTTGGCACGCAGTACTAAACAGAGTTTTCGACAATCGTCTTCTGTTTCCGACGCTGAACAGACCTAGAAGAATTCTGGACTGTGGCTATGGAACAGCCAGCTGGGCTGTCGACGTTGCTACACAAAACCCAGGATGCGAGGTTCTCTTCCTTTCCCTTGGTTTTCAGTGAAATACAAAATGGCATGATTCTTCGAGCGCATATAATGCAGAGCTCGGCCAGTACCAGGCAGATGGCTGAGCATCATCAGAAATATTGGAGTCGCCCAGGTGGTCGGGTGCTAATATTCATGCAGGTTATAGCGATTGATATTTACCCCTTCCAGCCAGAGACCGTACCTGAAAACTTGTATTTACAAGTGGATGATCTCAACAACCGGTTTGTATAGAAAAAACAAAAGGTGGAACAGGTCTAATAACATCTGATAGATTCACTTTTCAGGCCCATAACTTCGACCTTGTCCACAGTCGATTGATGTCGGGCGCTATACATGTGAATAGATGGGCTGGGTACCTCCGTGATATGCTTCGTGTACTCCGACCCGGAGGATGGTGCCAGTTGGTGGAGCTGCATCATAACGCCCAATCAGACAATGGAAGTTTAACAGAGGGTAAGTTTTCCAGGCAGGCATTATGTAAAGATATTGTATCTGATCGGAAAAAACAACAGCCCATGCTCTTAGACAGTGGAGTACTAGGTATAATGAGAGCCTGAACGGCTTGAAAGATGTTCGTGTCGCACCCCGGCTTCCAGAAATGATGAGAGCTGCAGGATTTGTCGACATTGAACATAGAATGATTCCCCTCCACACTTGTGGTGTAAGTTTCCAACTTCATATCCATTCGAATAACCAAAAACCATGGAATACTTTCCCAAGTAACTTAGTCTCAATATTCTACTCGAAATCAAATATTCCATTAACTCTTAATGGAGATATGAGGTAATATCTAAACGCTAACCCTCAGAACTTTACAGTGGTCAAGCGGTCAGTAAGCAATGAGCGGGCAGAGAAGCACACTAATAGCAAGCGCGATAGATACCAGAGACTATGATATTGGTACTGCCAACAGAGAAAACGTGCAACAATTCTTAGGATCCATTGCGATTTATCCATTCGCGGAAAGACTAGAGTGATTGTCTCTGCCCCTCTTTTAGAATTAGATCTAATCAATGGTAGGATGCCGATCCAAGATGTTCAACTTCTTGTAGCGCAGGCTAGAGTAGAGGCCGGTGACCCATTGTTGAAGGTGATTATTGCATCCAGATAATCTGAAAGATGAAGGTTGCTAATCTCCCGTTCGCAGGCGTACTTCCCTTTGTATGTTTGCATCGGAAGGAAGCCTCGCTCGCGTCGATAGTTCGCAGGTGTTAATGTGTAACTTACACGCACATTAGAGCACTCGTATAGTCTGAAAGGCCCAGGAACTAGGTAGTCCAAACTGGAATGTTAGCAGGGGAAGAGTAAGAAGACTTGGTTGCATCCAAGATGCTCAAAAACTGGATTGAAAGGGAATCAATGATGTTCAAAGATGAGGTATTTAAGCACAATGAAGATTGGATATACTTAATGAGAACATACATCGACCGCTCAAGTGGCAGGCTTCATGGTGAACAGGAACAGAGAATTGTTGAGTTTTTGTGATGTGAGGTTCTTTGGGTTTGTAAAGGCTTTAGTGTTTCCTTATCGTGTCGCGAGTTGTTTGTTCTTTCCACATTGAGAAGTAAGCAGTTTAACTACCTAATACATTTTCGTCGGCCATCCTTTTCATGAGCTGTTTCCAATAACGAAATTCAAATTTTATCTAATGTAAAGTCATCCTGGACCAGATTATAGAATATATGTAATGAAGATGTGATCAAGAAGCTCAGCGTAAGTAGTCCCCTGTCCGCCCGACCCTTATATTCAATATGATTGGATAAATTATGTTAGAGATCGCTAGATGGCAAGTGCTTTTAGACTTATGGTCGGTTCGCAAAAGGGTGATAAAGCCCAAAGCGTGTATAGCCTAGAATAATCGAAGGGATACCGCTGCAACATAAATAGACACAGCAGAGCCGCTTTTTAGAAGGAATTTTTAAGATCAGTTGTGAGTCTTGAGGTTTATATATACGTTCCCAAGAATTACTCGCTACCAATACGTTGGGATTCTTCAAACGGGTAGCAGTATGGTACCCTTGGTCATCAGAGTAGCCGGGTAAGAGCGTATAAGCAAGAGAAAATTGCATACTATACTATATGAAATTCCTCTCACGACAGCAAACAGCGCATGAAACCCAGTAGCTACATATGAAAATCCAATGCCATTTTTAAAAAGTGCTAAGTGCTGGGTATGTTCTATGACAGGATACTCTTTCGCAAGCTTAGCCCTACTACTGATTTCTTTTGGGTTATACACTAGGTCATATGTAGCTGGGAGATGTTATCCCCGCTTTAATATTTCGGCCCCTTCTTTTTACAGATCCGGATGTCATCGTCTAGCCAAGTATTCGAGTTCTGAGTGGCCCTTCCTCCCTCAGTGTGGATAATAGATATCGTGATGACCTCAAAACCTTTGCCGTCCCGTTGTCACACAACACAGCCCGTGAGTTACACAGAGAAGGTAAAGCCGACGGCTATAGAACATCGATTAGACAAAGACACCTTTTCGGCCCGCTAATTAGGTGTATCATAATGTGATACTGTGTTGCATTAATATACAATATCCGAGATAACCCTTTAGAAATTCCCCTTTCATTTAGCCTAAAGGAACTCATCATTTTTACATTTGTTGTCTCGACAGATGTCGAATAATCAATCGCCATCGAATTTACCAAAAGTTGTTATCATTACTACAATATTACTTAGGGACCCAGCACTCGTAGGTGTTCTCATCATAATTACACCGTAGACTGACTTTGTGTTTTTGGGAAAAGTGGGTCAATGAATTAGTGTTACACAAGCTTTAAACCAAGTCGGGGTTAAGCGCAATTCCCCAGCCAAGCCAACACATGGTTCATCTACTGAGATAAGCAAGTGATCGATGGAGCTTGGATGTTGTGCATGGAAGTGTTACCTGAGATTTGAGATGCCCCCAATGCCTGGATTGGAGATCGAAAGGTTGTTCTAGCCCCTGATAAATATGCGTACGTCTGGATCTGCTGGGAAAGACAGTAGCTGTAAGTTCTCCTTTCATTCGGGCAAGGCAGTGTATTTTATCATTCCCCGTAGTATATTCCTCGGTCCAATGCCAATATGATTCGTCGCATTCGTGAACAAGCAAATAGCAAATAGCAAAGAGCAAAGAGTAAAGAGCAAAGAGCTACATATCACAGCCCTGGTACTTGGAACCCCAGATGCGATATATCACATTGCTAAATTTCACAGATAATTTAAGAAGAAAACCCCTATATTTAATTTACGGTGTGAATGTGTAAAACCGTGGAAAGAAAAGAAAGAAGAAAAGAAGAAAAGAAGAAAAGAGAAACCGTATATGTTTACATAATGCTCTGAACAAACGCCTCAACTATATATCCGCGACGCTCCCAAAAGACCAAAGGGTATTTATTATACATCAGGGATTTTCCCGTGGAGGAGTCGATGGTTCTCCACTACCCCAAACATTCTCAAAGGCCTCTCCATCAACTCCGTATTTAGGCTTTAATAACACATTCTCTTGTCGAGCTTCATTCCAATGGCGTGATTCCTCCGAGTTGTCCTGATCACTACCATGATTCTTATCCCCATCAACTGCAAACTCTTCATCAACACCTGGCTTGGGATCCACAGCCTCTGCGTCATCATTGGGCTCGAATCCTTCCCGCATGTCCTCACCTGTACCGTCTCCATATGTCCGCCTTTGAAAATTAGCCTTGAATTTTATCTAATGAGAGGATGGACTTACACGAAACGTCGGGGCTCAGTTTCATTCCATCCTGAACTTCCTTCTTTACGAGCCCGAACTCTTTCAGTTTCTTCTGCCGCAGTATCTTCGACTATGACATCAACTAATTGGCTTCTGTCGGATTTAGCTGAACTGGAGGCAGACGAATGCTGTCGCAACATGCCTTTGAGCATTGGCGCTCTTCCTTCCTCACTCAGTGGTGAATTTTCTTTATTTTTGCCTTTAGAATCTCTGCTACGACTGTTCCTTGAAGACTTTCTCTTAGTTCGCTTAGTGACATCCTCGACCGTTTCTCTGATGTTACTGGCTCTTCGAATACGGTTGTCATCAGTAGGTTGAAGGAGATGACGATTTGCCGAGGTTGTCAGAAGATCAGGCTGCCCAGTGAGCCATCTTTCCCTTGAAGGCTCATGAGCAGTAATCACATGATACTATAAATGATTGATTAGCTTTAAGCATGCAGTAAGCCAAATTTACTTACGTTCCAATCCCCGAATTCTAGTTGTCTAGCTCTCTCGTAAAGACCTTCTTCTTCAGGATCAAGACCTTGCTGTTCTACCCCACCGTCTCCCCACCCCATGTAGTCAGAATCGCCATCACGGGGTTGTACGGGAGATTGGCTTCCAGGAGATCCAGCATTGTTTCCAAGCAACGGTGTTCTTGCGGTTGCTTCGCCTGGTTTGGGAATCCAATACTTTCCTTTCCCACCACGCTCGTATCGCATACCTTCCATCATCCGAGCTACTCTTGACGAGGATCCTTCATGGGCCAGGACGTTGTCTCCTGAATCAAATAACCGATATTCATATTTCTTCCCACTGAATGTCTCTTTCGTATCCTCAATGAGATCACGAATGCCAAAAGCATCCCGAATAGCGTAGCGGACCGGCATTCTAGCTGCAGATATGGTGACATCTGCATAGTCGTGCCATGAAAAGGCATACCAATGTCCAATGGCAAAAATAGGCATCTCGATACAGATCAAGGCATCTTGTATTGCCGCAGCGAGACTATCGGCTGTATAATCCTCCACATTGTCTGGAATTGCTCCGAGAAAGACCAGGATCGAAAGTAGAAATCCTTGCCAGTATGAGGCAAATATAATGAGCTTGATGCACAAAAATTTCGGTACAGGTCGAAAAGGTTGTAAATCTTTAGACATGATAACCCAAAACATTCCGAGTGAATATAGACTCAGTGTGACACTAATATTGTAAATAATACCACTCCACATATAACCGGAGGTTAAAGAAATGGTACCCTCAGAATATACACCAGTAACTTTCATGATTATAGCTGAAAGTCCAAGAAGAGGTTTCAGCCAAGCATACTGTAGAATCCCGCGCTTAATGGCCAAGAATGTATGAGGGTCGGATATATCGACCTTAGGAAAGACATGGTTCAATGGCCAAAGATGATGTACCGGTTCTCGTCCATGCATCATAATAATCAATGCTCGTTCACCCCCGAGGAAGTTTATAAGGAGTTGAAAGAAAGTGTAAATTGTGAAAGCCTGCCAATGATCAGTTTCGAGCCATGGCATTCAAAGATTTTCAACCTACCTCATATACATCACGAATAGGATCGATAAACATCGCTGCCTCTCTAGAAACTAGACTAGTCCATGACGAGATTGAGTATATCGGTACCCTAAGCGTATTGATCAATATAGGAACTGTAAATATTGCTGAAGACTTCATCCACGTACATAAGTAGGATTCGAATGACATAGCGTTGTAAAAGAGGTTTTCGATAGTTTTTCCTAGAATACATTTAGAAAAATGATCAAATTTTGTATCATGTAGCCTTTATAACATACGTTTGCAACCAAACCGACCTGTTGAACAAGATGTTAGCTTCTAAAGTGAATGAAGGAAGTCGCTCTCAAACATACACAATTGATAGTAAAGAGGCAAGCAATGCAGCAGAACCAGCTACCACTATTGTTGCATTTGTCAATTTCTCACCAGTACCACCGGATAGATCACTACTTCCTGCCATCATCTTAGAAGGCGTGAAGAATCAATGAAGTTGGCGCGCTCTCTTGGTCACGATAAGCTATAGGAGTAGATTGGAGCTTAGAAGTCTCAAATTGTGCGACTAACATGATCTGCGAAACTCTCCTTCATACTGTTAAAAATGAATGATAAAGTCTAGTGAATGTTATAGTCTCTGGAAAATGTTCACACAGCGAGATAGGCAGGCAGTTGGTGGTCTTGATAGCTATGCCATGTTTTTGTCGCAGAGTGTAGAGGCGAAAGCGTGCGTAATTCTGCCAAGGCGGTGGCTTCCAGCTTTCAAAGCGGGCTAATGCGGCCGAGTGGCCCCTATGAAGCATCACAATTCTACTTCGCGATCTACCATAAGTTCAATCTTTTGTATTTCAA